CCTGGCCACAGCAGAGAGCTGGCCTGGAAGAGGGGCAACCGGGACTAGAACCCAGTGTGCTGGCGCCGCAAGGTGGAGGATTAGCCTATTGAGCCGCGGCGCCGGCCAAATATTCCAGTTTTAAGGTTAATACTAAGGGGCCAGTGACGGCATCCCATATGGGCGCCAGTTCACATCCTGGCTGCTCCACTTCCCATCCAGCTCTCTGCTATGGCCTTGGAAAGCAGTAGAAGATGGCCCAGATCCTTGGGCACTGCACCTGCGTGGGAGACCCAGAGAAAGCTCCTGGTTCCTGGCTTCGGATCGGCCCCTGCTCTTGCTGTTGCAGCCATCCGGGGAGTGAACTAGCAAATGGAAGAACTCTCTCTCTCTATGCTTCTGTGCCTTTCAAATAAATAAAGAATTCTTTAGAAAAAAGTTAATACTAATACTTTAATTTCATCAAATAGTTAGTTGATTCCAATTTTTAAAGATGTCCTAAGACTTTCTCTATAGTCTGTTTAAATTAAGACTCAAATAAGGTCTACACATTGCAAACAACTTATTTTTTTTCTTTATTTTACAGATTCCATTTTATTTCCATTATTCTTTTATTTCTTGCAATTTATTTGTTGAAGAAATTTGACTGTCATATAGAGTTGTCCAAAGTCCATTGACTATAAGCATATTCCGCTGTAATTTCATGTAAATTTGTCTGTCCAGAGATCTGAAAAGATTCATGTTTCATTTGGGGGGGAGAAGGAGCAAGATTAATTCATAGGTGAGGTTGCATCCTTCCAGTACAGAGGAAACTTTTACCTCTTTTTATAATACTTATACAGCCTTTGATGACCAAAGTCCATATCCACTGACTCATTCATTGTTGGAAAATGGTGATGTTCTACACGTGATTTTACAAAGTGGAGCCCTTGGGTGAGTGAGGCCTATTTGGTTTTTTACTTCCAAACCAAATGACCTCAGACTGCTTTGCCTGTAACATTTGTATCTTTGATGTGAACAGTTTTTCTGCATCTCCGCAATCAGCAAACATAAATCAATATTTTCAGTGCATGCATGTCCTTAACAGCCCAGTCATCTTTTTGATTGGCTGCTTCTAATCTGCTCTATCAACTTGGACCAGACTATTAGGCTCGCTGCAAGGAGACAGATAAAATAACAGAGATCAGAGGGCTCCTTTATCAGTTACAGGCTGAGCTTCAGTTCACAGGCTTCGTGACTGATGTCCGAGTTCCTGGCTACATCATGCCTACCCAAGATTAACTGACTCCTGAAACCAGCTTAAAATAAGTCAGCTTTTTTTTTTTTTTTTTTTTTTTTTAAGTTAACTTTCTGGTCTCCAGGTACAACATCCCATTCCTGAAGGCCCTTGTCTTGCACTGCAGGGACTTTCTTTGTTCTCCTATTACAGTCCAAGGTCTAGAATAACGCCTTGTGCACATATAAGTGCTGGATAAAGAAGCAGTGGAAAAACAACCACCACTTCCAAGTGTGTCTGGTGACACTGGACACGTTCCCAGAACTCCACTCACACAGGGTCACCGGAAGGCCCAGCATTCCGGGGGCCTCCACTGCCGTTCTCTTCCCTACCTGAGCAGCCTCCTCACTGCAACCTCACCATCCTTCCTGTCCCTCTGTTTCTGCACATCTCTGACCATTGCTGCGACTGCTTCTCTAGTGCCCTTTGATTTCCATCCATCTGTGTCTGAAACACAGTCTCATTCTCTCAGTTAAATATCCTCATAACAGCAGTGGTGCTGACCCCACACTTAGCTACATTACAATGGCAAGGTGTTTCTTTGAGAAAATGGTATTTCTACTTCCCAGGTTAAGGCATCATGCAGGAGTATGTAAATCAATATGCAAGTGTTTACGGTGGAGAAAAGCCGGGAGCAACAGGTTTTAAATGACAAAATTATTTGAATTTCTCTAGCTATATTACTTAGGGATAAAGTTAAATTAGATAAATTGGTATATTTTTGAGTTTTTCCTGTCGCTCCCCCTCTTCGCGGAGGAACGACACAGGACCCTGCGCTGTTCTTTTGTCTGCTCGGCCCTCCCCGGGTTTGCTGCTGGTTCTTCCCGGGTTGGCTGCCGTCCTTCCACCTCCGTGGAAGGGCGGTTCCCCCTGCCACTTTCCCCACTTCCGCGGGGGAGTGGCACACTGCCGGCCGGCTCTCTCGGGGGCTGCTCAGATGTTATCCGGATGTTCCCCTTAGATGTTCCTGGTGCATGTCATCTCTCTCCTCCTTTATAGTCCTCTTCCACCAATCCCAACTCTGCTACCCACACGCCGAGCACGCTGCTCTCCTCTAATCAGGAGCAAGATCAGCTCCTGCAGCTCAGTCAATCAAATTGGCCGAAGGCGGCTGTGTAGAAGTTGTTTACTCCTCTCCATATTGTGGGAGAGCAGATGCATAGAGTAAGTCTTAATTCCAGTAACTTAGTCTAGTCCGAGTTGCTCCCCACATTTTCCACCAAAGCACCTCTAACAAAAGAAGCCTATAAATTCCTATACCCAGTTGGGTTAGAGAGTGGCTGTGACATGGAAAATTCCCTGAAGACATGTTTTTATTTTAATTTTGATATTCAGTTTTGGTCCTGCTTCATAACACTTACTTTTGGTCCTGCTTCATAACACTTACTTTCATGAGAATCTAGGTTCTTCCTCTCCTCCCGTCCCAACACTAAGGCCCGAGAGAAGTGCCCTATTTATTCTATACCTTCCAACACTTCCTGATATCACCTCACACCAAAAGGAACACGCCTGGCTCATTTGAAAAGGAAGTAGAGACGTTAATGACATCTAAAGTTAACAAGGATAAGGTTACAACTTTATAACCTCTTGTGATTTTTTTTCAGTGGAGTTGCAAACCAGTACGTTCTACTGCATTCACAAAAAGCCCAACTCCATGGTTTATAGGCAGCATGTTGGGCATTCAAACAAGTTGGCAACTGGGAGACTCCAGGCCCACCCATCCCTAGGCAGGGATGCTCAGGGTTCTGCTCCCAGCAAAGACTTCCAGTGTCACAAGTGGGGTTAAAAAGATGGGCTCTCCAGGCAACAGAAGAAAACAGAGAGAGACAGCAAACATGATTTTCAGGGAGTGTGTGTTAAAAGTAAAAGAGCAAAGCACTGGAGGTGGCCTCCTGCCTTCCTTGGAAATTTGCTTAGACCGGTGCTGTCTTAAGGGTGGCTGCTGGCCACATGTGGCTACTGAGCACTGAAATGTGGTCACTGTGATCCAGGAATATTACATTATATTACATTTTAATTAATATAAATTGTAAAAACTAGTACTCAATTCAGTTACTCAAAAACTTCTTAGAAGCATGTTTGGAACAATCTAGGCATATATATCTACTTATTCAACTGTGTATTTTATGAACTCTGAATACAGATCAAGTACTCCCAATGAAAATTTAGCATATTGTTGTAAGTCTAAAATGTATTATAGGTTCAGGTTTAATGGCAATAACTTTCCACTTTTAAAAATTACATGTTGAAATGATAATATTTAGAAATATTGGATAAATAAAATACTGGGTCAAAAATATAAGGTTAAAATTCATTTCATTAATTTACTATGCTTTAAAAATCTGGCTATAAGAATACTTAGAATTAATGCGGCTTGCATTATATTTCTATGAAACGGTATTGATTTAGACAAAGACTTGAAAAGAAGAAACCTTGTTTAAAAGAAACTGCATGGTTCTCTGTGTCCCAAACTTCCTAATGCCCTTTCAAAAGGGCTTCAGCTTTCTATCTGCAAAGCAGCATGAAATCCTTTGCATGAATCCTGAGCCCTAAATGCAACAGTGATCCACCCCAGTTATTGTCGAGTGTTCTGTGCTCATTCTTTCATTCTATGGCTAACCAAAACAGCTTTCAGAGACTGTCTCTTTGGTAAGAGGCTTCCGATCAAGGTCGCATCAGGGTTTCCAGTCCCTGAGTCAAGGCAACCAAGACCTGTCTGGCCATGAGTGTCACACGGCTCCTGAGAAGCTCTGGAACAGGTCCTGAATCAGCAGCCAGGACGGCAATGGCACGGCCTTCGTGGCAGGGCACAGAGGCGGCTCAGTGGCAAGGCCCACAGGTACGGTTTACAGTCAGACTGCATGGATTCCAGTTTAACTCTGCCCAGCGCCGGACAGCTGAGCTCCGGCAAATGACCTGGCCTCCGAGCACTTAAATACTTTTGTCTGTGAAGGGGGATAAAGACCTCTCTCTAGGTTTGATTTTATTTTACTTTATTTTTACTTACTTAGTTTTTAATCTCATAGGTTTTAGACATTAAATGAGGTAGCATCTACAGATCTCAGAAACCAGCTGTCATTCTGTATAGCCCACATTCTGTGCAGTAGCTCGCTATGTTAGTCAAAAATGAACACCTAACGTAAACCAAGCTCAACATCTTACAAAAGCTGGAACACCCTTCCACATCTGGACAGGACAACCACATGGGCTGGCATCCTCCGACAGTCCCCAGCCCTGCCAGTGCTGGACGGGAGCCTGCAGACAGAGGCCTGAATTCCAGTACTCATTACTCGGTCACAACTGACACTGGAACAATTGCAGTCGATGCTTAATAAGGCACAGAAATGCTTCTGAGATTACATCAGAGTAGACCAAGATAGTCCTAAGATAGGGTCTGGGCTTCTTTGAACAATATTTTTTTAAAAAAAGAACTTATCCATTTATTACGATTATTTTTCTCTGATATTTCCATGCCAAAATAAGACTATAATTAGCAGTATGAGTAATTAGTCAGTTGACGACCAGATGGCATGGATGAAGGACAACACCTAAGGAGGAAGTGCAAATGGAAACAGCAGGTGTCTAACCAACAGGTCTGGGGAATGGCAACGCCATCAGGTTCTGCCAGCCACATGCACAATTTAAAGACAAAAGTAGATAGAAATGGATTTTCCATGGCCACTTCAGAAAGTAGAGCTGCACAGGGCCTCTCTGCAACAATCAGCCAATGTCTACCTGGACACACCTGTAACAGACGCTGTCAGTGCAGGGGTTATGAGCCCTGACGATGACGAAGACGTGCTGAAAGTGGGATCGGATGTTCTTCGGGCTGAATGGCTGTGCTCCCGGCTCTTGGAAAACTATTGTTACGATATCATTTCCAATGTGCCGCTTCCGTAAGAGCTACAAGAAAAAATAAGCAACCCACAGAGATGATGATGCTCCGTGTTTTCCTCCCCAATTCCCTTATGTAACTATATGCAAAACATTCATTTCTAATTAGTACACATCGGGGTAAGTAATCTATGCAGTTATTATCAATATTTGAGCCAGTCTTATCATTTCCCCCAAGGAAGAAAATGGAAATGAGAATTCTGAAATTTGCATACAAGATATAGCCATTCAAGTAGATCTACCCAATATCTGGCATATTATGCCAAGTTTCAGCATCTCTAAATCCTCAGTTTCCATAACAACAGTTTTGTTCCATTTTTATATAAGAAAGGAATTTGCCGTGGGGAGGAATTTTAGAGATGAGAAAGGCTGAGGTAATTACAACACAATTTATGTTCTGGTTTAATTGGCTTCATTTGAAGCAAATGTGGCGAATGTGTTTTCTGATACTTTCTGTGTCATAAGCTGGAATGTGCAAATTAATAACATTCCACAATGCTGCAACACTTTAAAAGCAGGTTAAATTTCAAGTTTAAACTGTTTCTTTAATTACAGTGAAAGCTGCTTAAGACCAACTTTTGCTGTACATAAAATGGTGTTTTGGATGGGCGGCTTTCAAAATCAGGTATCCCTCTGCCCCCTGAACACCTGAGGCCAGTGCCATTTCAGGGAGGCGTTTGATAGGTAGTTTAATTCAACAGTGAAAAGAAACCTGAAGACAATTTCCACTTCTCATACTTATTCTAAGGTGCAGAAATTACACACTGGTGAAAATCAATGATTTGGTATCGGTTGCCAGCTGTGAGAAACGACATCCTTACAGATCAGGGTTGAGAACTGGGAGTTACACTGTTGACGAAATGTACTTTTAACCTCAGGAATCTGAAAGCATCCCAAACTATATTCTAATGCAGCATTTATTTCATTTCAAAACATAATATATAACCAAGAGAACATACAAAAAATTTAAGATTCTTCCTCAGCACTTGGGATCTAAGGCATACCATGAACAAATACAATTTGTCTATGCATTACAATATTCCTGCACAGATGTCATTGCCTCTTCTTTTGTGTGCAATGTCATTCTTTCTTTAAATTATGCCCTGATATGTAAAATTAATGTCCTACTAAAGGACGACTCAAGTTGAAATACATCCATTTGGGGCCGGCTTTGTGGCACAGCAGGTTAAGTCACTGCCTATAGAGCCAGCATCCTCTAAGGGCACCAGTTCATGTCTGGCTGCCTCAGCTTCTGCTAATGTGCTTGAGAAACCAGTTGAAGAATGGGCCCTGCGCCCATATGGGAGACTCAGAAGCAGCTCCTGGCTTTAGCCTGGCACAGCCCTGGTTGCTGTGGTCATTTAGGAAGTGAGTTGGTGGATGCAAGATCTCTCTCTCTCTCTCTCTCCCTCCCTCCCTCTGTAATTCTGCCTTTCAAATAAATAAAATTCTGCCTTTTAAATAAAAATCTAAAGTTAAAAAATATATCCAAATCTAAAGTTAAAAAATACAGCCATATATAGCTCTCATGATACATATAATGAAAGATAATATTTATATCAAAGCACGCCCGCTCTTTCTACTTTTTCCAAGCACAAAGTAACCTAAATTGAAGAAAACAAATTCTTTAGCTAGAGGATGAAATGTCTTAATACCAGAGAGAATGAATTTCTTAACATGATAGTACTTCAAAAAGTTTGTGGAAATGCAATTAAAATATAAGCTTATTTGTTAAGTCAACAACAGGAGTCACTGTGCACTTACTCCTCATGTAGGATCTCTGTCCTTAATGTGCTATACATTGTGATTTAATGCTATATCTAGTACTCAAACAGTATTTTTCACTTTGTGTTTCTATGTGGGTGCAAACTATTGAAACCTAAACTGATCTTCTGTATATAAAGAGAATTGAAAATGAATCTTGATGTGAATGGAAGGGGAGAGGGAGTGGGAGAGGGGAGGATTGCTGGTGGGAGGGAAGTTATGGGGGGGGGGGGGAAGCCATTGTAATCCATAAGCTGTACTTTGGAAATTTATATTCATTAAATAAAAGTTAAAAAAAGAAAAAAATAATAAAATATAAGCTTATTTGTGGTGCAAAAAATTTAAGTCCATCACTGTTTTTCGTAACATACACTTCCATGAACTTTCCACAGACCTCTCACATATGGATGGACTTTCCACAGACCTCTCACATATGGATGAACTTTCCAAAGACCTCTCACATATGGATGGACTTTCCACAGACCTCTCACATATGGATGGACTTTCCACAGACCCCTCACATATGGATGGACTTTCCACAGACCTCTCACATATGGATGGTACCAACTACTTTCTCACTCTTCTAAGTGACCAAAATATTTTTGCCTTGATCTGACATCAAAATTAAATAATTTCACTATCCACTTATATGCTAACTCACTCTGCCCAGTACTTCAACTCCTTTAGTTAGAAATTGGGGCCGGCACCGTGGCTCACTTGGTTAATCTTCCGCCTGTGGCGCCGGCATTCCATATGGGCGCCGGGTTCTAGTCCCGGTTGCTCCTCTTCCAGTCCAGCTCTCTGCTGTGGCCCAGGAAGGCAGTGGAGGATGGCCCAAGTGCTTGGGCTCCTGCCCTCACATGGGAGACCAGGAAGAAGCACCTGGCTCCTGGCTTTGGATCGGTGCAGCTCCGGCTGTAGCGGCCATTTGGGGGGTGAACCAATGGAAGGAAGACCTTTCTCTCTGTCTCTCTCTCTCTCACTGCCTAACACTATCTGTCAAATAAAGGAAAAAATAAAGAAAGAAACAACTGGGGGCTGGTGTCATGGTATGGCGGGTTGAGCCGCCTCCTGCAGCACTGGCATCCCATATGGGCAGGAGTTCTAGTCTCACTTTTGATTCAGCTCCCTGCTGATGCATCTGGGAGGGCAGAGGCCGATGGGTCAGTGCCTGGGCCCCTGCACCCACTTAGGAGACCCCAAGGAAGCTCCTGGCTCCGGCCCAGCCCAGGCCTGACTGTTGTAGCCATTTGGGGAGTAAGCCAGTGGATCAAAGACCTCTCTCTCTCTCTTGCTCTCATTCTGCCTTTAAAATAAATAAAATAAATCTTTAAAAAAATTAAAAACAACTGATCTTTTTTAAAAAGATTTATTTTATTTATTTTAAAGGCAGAGTAACTCAGAGAGAGAAGTCTTCCATCCACTGGTTCCCTCCCCAAATGGCCTAAAGGGCTGGAGCTGGGTCAATCTGAAGCCAGGAGGCGGGAGCTTCTTCCAGGTCTCCCACGTGGGTGCAGGGGCCCAAGGATCTGGGCCATCTTCTACTGCTTTCCCAGGCCACAGGAGAGAGCTAGATGGGAAGTGCAGCAGCCAGGACTCTAACCAATGCCCATATGGGATGCCGGCACTGCAGGTGGCAGCTTTACTTGCTATGCCACAGCACGGGCCCCACAACTGTTCTTATTATTGGGGTGGGCATGTGGCACAGTGGGTCAAGCCCCTGCTATGACACTGGCATCCCGTATCAGAGTGCTGCTTCCAGTCCTGGCTGCTCCACTTCTGGTAATACTAATGGGCCTGGGAATGAGAGGAAGACAGCCCAAGTGCTTGAGAAAGCTCCTGGCTTTGCCCTGGCCTAGCCCTGGCTACATGGGCACTTGGAAGCAGATGGAAGATCTCTCTTTTGCTTTTTCAAAAAATAAATGCTTTTAAAAGCCAGTTATTGGTCTCATTGCATTTTTTTACCCTCACAAATCTCTTCTGAGTGATCAGGTAGAATAAGCCTTTATCTGTACTGTAACATCATTCATTAAAAACATTTTGTCTACTGACTGGTCTGAAAAAGAAGTCTAATAATCTCAGCATGGTACATTTCTCTCAGAGAACCTTAGAATTTGCAAAAGAAGTTGTCAGCAAAGTCTGGATTGGGAAGCTTGTCTGGAAACAGGTTTAATTTGGGATGTACAGTCTATTCACTGCCGGGCTTCCTATTTTTGACTGCTTTGGTAATCATGAAAGGCACAATTTTATACCTAGATTTGATCAAATCTAGAGTGGTGAGGTGTTAGGTTAGACCAGTGTTAGGTTAAATTCTGTGAAAAGAGGATGTAATTCATTCTGCGGCCGGGCCTGTTGAGTTAGCATAGTAACTGGGAATAACAAAAACTTATATCCCTTTTTTAAGGTCATAAGTATAACTGGCCTGATCATGTTTCTAAGGGCCTCTGATGGAGAGTCTGTTAGACTTCAGTTTGGTATCATTTATTTTGAAATATTTTTTTAAAAGAAAGATATATTTATTTGGAAGGCAGAACAACAGGGAGGAAAGTATAGAGAAGTCTTCCATTCATGCCCCAAATGGCTGTAACATTCAAGTCTGGACCAAGTTGAAGCCAGGGACTCCATCCTGGTCTTCTACACTTCTCAGGTGCATCAGCAGGAAGCTGGATCAGAAGCAGAGTAGCCCAGCCTTGAACTGGCACTCTGATCTGGGATGCCAGTGTTACATGGTGGCTTAACCCACTGCACCACAATGCAACCCCCTTGCAGTATATTTTAAAAACAATAACCACCATTTATTCTCTAAAATAATATTGCCAATTCCAATTTTGGTAACAAGTGTGTTGCATTTTACTGCTTCACTTACATTTTAGCAGTCTTTTTTTTACCTTTTTAAGAGAAATTCTGTGTATGACATACACATTTGCATTGTTATGTATGTTCCTTATCATTTCCTGATGAACATGTGAAGAAAGAATAACATTCTGAGATTTTGCTGATCCTCCGTTCCCCATGAGAACGTGAAGTCTCCTATGAAGCCCTCCTAAAGAAACACCAGTTCTTCCCAGCTCTGTGCACGGCCTCCTGAGATGGCACTGCTCCCACACCTGCACACTGTCTGCAGCCCTGCAGAGTCATCTCATCACCATAGCTTCAACCTGTTCCCTTCAGATTTCAGGATTTCTCTCCGTGGGTGAAAAGCAAATGATTAATGCACAAAGCTATCCAGCTGGTTGTTAACCTAGAATTTGTGTCTGTTCATTTGTTTGCGGCTCATTTACTATGACTTACTTCCACAAAGAACAAAGCTTCCTGCTGCTGTGACAGGTGCAACACTACATTTTGGTTTAAGATTTTACAAACTTGCCACTTAAGATTTCTTGGGGACGTGAATCAAGGGTGAAAACACAGAGAGCACATGGATCTCTTACCTGTTGCTTGTTGTTGGGTGTGTACGGCAGCATGGTAGAGACATGGAACATAATCTCATAGTCTTTGTATGTTGTGTACAGAGAATGGGTTCCAGTGGAGTCAGCTACGGTTAAAAAAAATAGTGAAGAGATGACTCTAAGAATGGAAAAAGTAATTCATTCAAGAGTGACATATACCTCAAAATTTACTAAAGGAAATCATTCAGGATGAAAAGACTCTAGACAACATGTACTACAGACGGTTTGTGACCGTGTTTTTGGCAACAGATCCCCTCTGACAGCTTAGTGAAGCCTATGGATCAATCCCTTCCCAGAATCATCTCTGTAAATGCATAAAGTAAAATATGTAAAATTTAAAAAGAAATTCATTATGCTGAAAAATACAATTACCGTAATTTTAAAATATGATACATATAAGACTTATATAGTAAGATTTGACACTAGTCCAATATCAACTATACATTTGAAGGCATAATGAATACAGCAATATTTAGAGGTACCTGCCATAATATTAGGGAATGAAAATATATGTGCTTTCTATTAGCCAAAAACAAACAAACAAAAAATAGAGCTTACATTACTGTGGTTTCTTGCCTGTATTTACAATTGCTAAAGTTCAATCTGGGGTCAGTAAAAATAAAAATCAAATTATTTCACATTCAAATTCCAGATCCCTGAATTCTGTTCACAGACATTAAGTTAAAAACATTTTCTAATACTCCCAATACCAGCAAGAGTTGTTTGGTTGTTAACAGGTAGATAATTTAACTAGAATGTGACACTGAAGACAAAAGTATTATAGCAATGTCCAAAAAAATTTCTACAACTTAAGTGTGTGGGGTGCTCCCATCTTTCTGAAGGAAAAGACAACCTCCACTGCCTTCATTATTAACAAAGTCTCAGAATTAATGTGCCCACAAGTACCTAGAAACTGCAGAAGAGAATTATTAAATGTTCAACTAGAAGGGAACATTTGTTTAAACTCAAAGAACCTATCCAAAAATCAACAGAAAAGAATTCATTCTGGGTGAACGCAAGCCTCCACCAGCTGTTTCTCTGAGGATCCGAGCAGTCTGCTGCCTTTTAGAGACTGAGGCTGTTAGACAGCTTCGGGCAGATTTCAAGGATATTAGTGTTCAAAACTGATTATGCACAGTGTCTACCAGCTTAAAAGGCAGATCCCCAGACCCCATGCCCCCGAAATACCAGGCAGTGGGTGTGGGGCCCTGCCAGGATGCTATTTTTAACACTGCCTTCCAGGTAATTCGTGTGCAGAAGCTCCACTGCCCTTCAGCCCTGCTCCAAGGACAGATGACAGCCGTGGGCAGCGACAGCTGTGTCAGGATGTTGCAGAGCCCTGATCAGGTCCCGCTCCAAGAACAGACCTACAACTGTGGTATGCACACAGCCATGTCAAGGTGTGCTACAGCCCTGAGATTCAAGCTTGAGTTTGTCAGATCTTACTTTTGAGACCATCATAAAATGAAAAGGTTTTAAAAAGATGAAAAATAGAACAAAACAAAGACCACATTTCAGGAATTGCAAGGATATGTACCAACATATAACTATCCAAGAGTAAGATCTCAATATTTATGACCACCACAAAAACTGCATACTACTACAATAAAGTACTAACTGAACTATTTCAGACAAGTCTTGAGTATGAAGAACTTATCTATTGTTAAGGGCCCCTGCTATAAATATCTGTTGAACTGATTAGTACATTTAAAACTTTAACGTGAATGTGTCAGCCTTGACATGTACTCACATGTGTATCAAGTCGATTTTAAGCAAACTTAATGAACTAGAAAAAAGATTGTCATTCAACACTCATTTATTACATTTTTCTTTATCTGTCTGTGTAATGCTAAAAGGATTACTGCCACAGAGGGAAGCTGACCTGGAGACAGCCCTGAAGCCCACTTGCCTTTCTACTGCTAGCCCTTTTTTTTTTTTTTTTTTTTTTAAGATTTTATTTTATTTATTTGAGAGGTAGAGTTACAGTGAGAGGGAGATAAAGAGAGAAAGGTCTTCTTTCCGTTAGTTCACTCCCCAAATGGCCACAGCGGCCAGAACTGTGTCAATCCGAAGCCAGGAGCCAGGTGCTTCTTCCTGGTCTCCCATGCAGGTGCGAGGCCCACGGACTTGGGCCATCTTCTACTGCTTTCTCAGGCCATAGCAGAGAGCTGGAGTGGAAGAGGGGCTGCCGGCACTAGAACTGGCGCCCATATGGGATGTCGGCACTGCAAGCGGTGGATTAACCTACTGTGCCACAGAGCTGGCCCCTACTGCTAGCCCTTTCTCTCTTTCCTTCTTGCATCCCTTAATTTATATACTGAATGCTTTTTCTGGAGGGAACTTTGGAAATCTGTTTTTCTTTCTAATATTTATTTATTTGACAAACACAGTTATAGAGAGAAAAGGAGAGACAGATCTTCCACCTGCTGGTTCACTCCCCAAATGGCTGCAATTGCCAGAGCTGGACCAGGACAAAGCCAGGAGTCTGGAGCTTCACTGGGGTTTCTCACATGGGAACAGGGCCCCAAGCACTTGGGTCATCTTCTGTTGCTTTTCTGGGCACATTAGCAGAGAGCTGGATCGGAAGTGGAACAGACACAAACAGGTGCCCACAGGGATGCTAGTTTCGCAGGTGGTAGCTTAACCTGCTATGTATACCACAACGCCAGCCCCAGGCAATCTCAGAGTTTTGAAAATAATTTTCAAAATCTGGAAGCAGTCTGAAAGTTTTAGAGATGGAACTAGGGTCAAAAGAATGAAAATTTTCTTCTGAGAGGAGAATTCTAAAATCTTGAAGTCAGTGTATACATAATACAGTTGCTAAACTTTACCAGGAAGAACAGAAAAGGAGTGTCTGCTGTTATTTTCCATGGAATAAAGCAGCCAATGTTCTTATCCTTACATTTTTAGTGACCATGAATCTCTAGAGTGACAATCAAGAGAATGAAGGAAAAAAGCTTTTGAATCTTGCTGAGGAGCATGGACACTGAGTAGTCATTAAGGCAAGGGATGCAACGATGATGCCACTTCACATTTGATGGAGCTCTAACACTTGAAAAGCAAATCCAAGCACTTGTGTAGTCATCCTGACAACGAGATACCCTGCTCCAAATCATGCTGCCAGTGGGTACCACACACCCTTTGGCTAAGTCAGAGAAAGCGAACCTTCCAATATTCAGACTAGATGCTAAGAAGAAGATGGGACAGAACAGGTAAATAACTAGCCTATGCAGGGCACCTGGTTTGCAGCAAAGATGCATGAGGTCATGGCTACCTCAACAAGAAATGGGCCGTTGGCATCAATAAATAAGCAGCCAGACCCACACTACCTCCTTACACTGGACAGATAAGCAAGAACTGGTGTTAGCAAACCAAGCAACCATACTGACCACTGACTAATCTGTGCTTGACTGTGATAGTCAAAACACATCCCTGGGAGGAGACGCTGTGTTAGAACATGCTATCCCACTTATGCCTATGCAACCAAAGACTCACCCTGAACAGAAGGGCCCTCTCTTCAGTAAAGGGTGCTGCCAGCTGAAAAAGTCTGATAAATGCTCAGGTGACAAGAACCTGGACGCCCTGCACCTCACTCCTGTCCCTCATAACTGAGAAATGATATGGGTATTGTCCTCAGCTGCTCTGAGAAGGTACGGATAAGTAATATCTTTTTTAAAGATTTATTTATTTATTAGAAAGTCAGAGTTAGAGAGAGGAGAGGGAGAGAGAGGTCCTCCATCCACTGTTTTACTCCCCAGTTGGCCACAATGGCCGGAGCTGCGCCGATCCAAAGCCAAGAGCCAGGAGTTTCCTCCGGTTCTCCCACGTGGGTGCAGGGGCCCAAGGACTTGGAGCATCCTCCACTGCTTTTCCAGGCCATAGCAGAGAGCTGGATCGGAAGTGGATCAGCCGGGACTTGAACTGGAACACCCATATGGGATGCTGGCACTGCAGGCAGTGGCTTTATCCACTATGCCTCAGCACCAGCCCCAAGCATAAGTAATATCTTACATTAAACATTTTAATTAAACATGACAGGAACACGTGCATAAGTTGCAGGTACAGATGATGTCACAGTCAACCTGGACTTCTCTTTTGGCTCATTCTTTTGTTTTTAGGTAGTCTGAAGTCTGGTCTAGATGAATTTGAATCAGGAAAAAGTAACTGAACTTTCATATAATTATTTTCTGGTCACTAAAAGGTATTTCTGAGTTAAGAAAAATTGTATGAAGGACAACAATCATATGCGATGTGACTTTTGGAAAGTTCTTAGCTTTAAATATCTATGAACTCAAGGAGAAAAGTAATCTCAATTAATCAAATGCATACAGACTAAAAAGCGTCAACAGAATGAAGGCTTGCTTAAACATGGTCTATTATGTCCTCACTATTATACAACATATTAAGTTCAAGACAAAAGCACAGATAAATTGTGAGTCTGATTCATAAGAATAGTTTGAAATGTCACAATCAGTCAGATGCATGGAAGAACATTATGCTAGAGTCAAAGACAGATAGATCTCAGATCTACACAACCTAGCCTCAAGGTCTGGAAGGTAGAACTCAGTGCTCAGAAGCCAGGCAAAGGCTACACAATTCACTTCTAGAACACTTGCATGTGTTCAGGACAAGGCCCACTTCACATCTGTGATACTATTCCATTTGCTCACTGATGAGGTATTTGGGGAAGTCAAGAATTCCACCTGCTCTGGCATCTACAATATTTACTAATACTTTGTCAATGTATCTTTAGCCATGGTGTGGATGAAGATGAGATGATGAAGAGGCTGTAGTCCTACCTTTGCTATAACTTCCTACTATGCTAATTCAAGGGATGTATGATTGTACGCAGGGATGTACCTGGGGCTCAAGGCTTCTCAAAACTACTACCACATTGAGAGGAAAGGAGTCAGTGTGGGACCAAAGTTTAGGAGTCAGGCACTACTTTACACCTACTGCTCCCACTGCAAGACACCTGGAATTACCTGGATTCCCAGCCTGCAGGCACTGGCATTCTGAACTTGAAAGCCAACAGCATCGTTTGCTATATGGCCACTTCAAGTCACTTCACTTGTCTGCAATATTC